CTTCCTTTGACTACATTTTTATGTGATTCAAACATAATTTAATGAAATGCATACAGGGAAAAAAGTTAAATACGTTTAATGTAATGTTCATGTTTAGTTCAGAAGTGAGATAATAAAAGACCATGTTGGTGATCGAGTTCAAGAGGGTTTTATTTGATTGTTCCAGTCAACTCGTAACCTGTAATGTTATTTATGCTTGCAGATTTATGTCACTGATGAGACAACGGTAGAAATACTGATGGACAGACGAAAATTTGTGAGAAGAACCAGCTAAGAGAAGGACCACCCCGACTGCCAGAGAGCACAAGTAAAATTCCCTGCCAAAGTGGTGGTATGGTCTTTGATCTCTGACATGGGTACTGGGAGATTAGAGATTATAAAACTTCGAGAGTGGTTCCCTGATGATAATGATGGCATTTTCATGCATGATGTGGCTCGCTGACAAAAATGTTATAACCTATTGCATAATCCTGGCATTTGAGTGGCTGACTGGCCAGGACCAGTCTAGATTTAAATAATATAGTGTATATGGAAAGACATGAAAGACGAGATAAGTCAAGTAGAATGTATTAGCAAAGTCGAACTAATTGAACGATTGAAAAGGTATGGGATAAAAAGGCCCGCCGGTACATTCGAGGCATCCCAAGAAGTGTTACTGTGGTAATTAAGGCTAATGCTAGCTATTCTGGTTAATAGCTATTCTGGTCTTTATTAATGTACACAAATACAATTAGGAAATGATAAGTTCCTTTCATTTTGGAACACATATTCAACGAAAAATAGTACTGTGTGTGTGTGTGTGTGTGTGTGTGTGTGTGTGTGTGTGTGTGTGTGTGTGTGTGTGTGTGTGTGTGTGTGTGTGTGTGTGTGTGTCGACGGCCACCTTCAGTCGATGTCGACTATGGCATTATTGTCTCTACCTACTCCCGTATAGGTAGAGTCAATGCCTGGGTGAAAGAATGCGAGGAGCAAGCTATTGCCTATGCAGCATACTCCCCCTCTCTATGCAGCTGATGGAGCCAAAGGAACAGCATAGACCGATACGGTTTGGCCCCAGCGGCGTCACAGAAGTTGCCAAAACGAGGTCGCAAGCGACAACGAACTGCCTTCGGGACTCCGGCTCCAGACTTTTCCTCGGGGTTTCCTTCCGAAGCCTTTTCATCTTAGAGATACCACAAGCCAGTGGATTTTTTTATATATATATATATATATATAGGGTGGATTCCCATAGTCTTTGACCATGCACGGACTGAGCTACAAAGCAGCAGTGGGCATCACTGTTGTATCCAGGTCACTATTGTATCTGTGTGTGTACGTGTATGAATTTATAAAATTTGATTTAACAATTTAAGGCACTTAATAGTTCTCGGATAACTGATTTGGGGCTCATTTTGAAGAAAGAAATATAAAAATGAAATAAGGGGAATAATGCGCAGAAAAAAAACATACAATTAAGTAACAATACTCTTATTGTGCGTAATAGAAAGCTGAATATATTCCCAATACCAAAGGTAAGGATTGCACTGTTGATGATAGAAAAAAATGTATGCACAAAGACATAATGTATAAAAAAAAAAACAATAAACGGGCATCGTACAGTCAAAAGCTTTAAAACGCACCATAAACGCCGCAGGCCCGTCAGTTTCACTTTATCTTTTACATGCGGTACCTTAACAGCGGCAGGCCATTATGCGTAGCAACAAACCATGCAGTGATGTGTGTAGAGAAATGTCTATGGAGGTATACAAAGTATTATATGTACAATATGTGCAAAAACATGAATATATCCGCATGTATTTGCATATACTTCATATGAGCGTGTGTGTTCGCGCCCATGCATGTATTCGCATATCTTGTTCGCTTACGTCTGTACATTCTAACAGTGTGAAAAAAAGGTTGGAATATTTTCCTTTGATCTCTTACCTTCTAAGCCATGAGCCGAATTCAGACAGCCAGGCCTGCTCCTTCCTTGCACTTCATAGTTTCAAGTTCTTTATCATGAATGGTTTCTCTAATCTTCACACTTCCTGGTACTCTCTAAATCGCACACACCACCTCCGAAGATTTTTCAGCCGTGGTTCCTTAATAACCGTTGCCTTTTATTGTTTTCAGAAATTTGCCTCTTTTTCTAAAAATATATACCGTTCTCTCTCAGATTTCTCGTTAGTTTTATCTTTTTTTTTATTAGCATCTATTCTAAACCAGTCACTCTTGATGCGCCCATGGCTTCTCAGGTCACACATGATCCATGTCGACGACCTCAGAGCAGGCCGGGTCGCATGCTACCTCGCAGCACTCCACCTGGCTGAGTCGGTAGAGGCCCAGGAAGGCGGCGAACATGAGCGCCAGGACCCACACCACCATGGTCGCAGGGAGGGAGGGCGATGGGACCGGAGAGGGGGCGACTTCCACGGCGAGGATGAAGGAAAGGCCACAGCTGTTGCGTGAATTATTATGTTTTAAGCTTCCCTGAAATCACTTTTCTCTGTTAGAAACATGAAACAGGTGACTATATATATATATATATATATATATATATATATATATATATATATATATATGTACATATATTTATGTATATATATTTCTTTCTCTATTCTTTTTTTCCAAACAGCCATTTCATTCCATTGCAGGACACAGGTCTCTCTCAATTCACTATTGAGAGGTTAGTCTCACCCTTACCTGATTGGATGCCCTTCCTAATCGACCGCCTTGTGCCAAAGCGCCGATTTCACCAACGACACCTACATTTGACTCCTCAAGGTGATATGTCGTTTTCTTGCCGT